TGCCTGCTCAGCGAGCCTGCAGGTGAAGCTGCTGCTCAGACCAGGGATGCTGACTTTGACTCCCAGTCCCCACAGGCTCCTGTTGACAAGGAGCAGGGTGCCTGCCTGTTTGTCGAGCTGCGTCCAGGACTCCCAGGCTAAAGAGCACGGTCCCTGCCCCTTCACACAGCTGCAGAGCAGGCAGCTTCCTGGGGGTCGTGACAGTGCCGATTATGTCCGTGCTGTGCAGGGGCCTGAGGCTCTGCATTTCTGCACCACCCAGGTGATGGCCTCGCTCCTGGGACCCAGACCACCTTTCCATGGCCTGGAACTCGATCCTCTGTGAGCTCTTTGCAGGGGGCGGGGTGCAGGCTCCTCTGAGAATGGGGTATCGGGGGGTTGGGGACAAGGGGAATTGCAGGGGAGGTTGTGAGGGGAGAGGAAGCTGAGGGCTGGGGCTGCTTTCTTTGAGGCAACTCTGCCCTCTGTGCCCTGGCCTCTCAGCCTCCACTCCACTGAGGGCCAAGGGGATGCCTGCTCTCAGCCCACACCTCCTCCCTGCACTGAGTGCAGCCCCTGGGACTGAGGGCTGCACTCCCAGTGCACCCAGGAGAGGGCACTGCCTGCTTCGGGGGCCCTGTCCTAGTGCTCAAAGCTCTGGTCTCAGGGAGGAAGAGGTGCATGGCTGCCGGGGGCTCAGACCAGGCTGCCCCGGGGGTAGGGGGTTCTCTCTGAACAGTGTGCCCCCTTGCTGCCCCAGGTCCTGCCCCAGCCAAGGGATTCCACACAGGATCTGCCTGGCTCTCAGGGCTGCTCCACACCCTTCGCTTGGGAAGAGCTCCCTGGTGCACTGAGTGTCCACGGGACAGCCCCATTGCTGGGAATCCCAGGGTTCTGGGCTCTGCAGATAACATCCAGAGAGAAGGAGGTGGTTCGTGTGGTTCTACCACAGGGAAGCATCTGGGCAGGAGGCAGAACCTGCTCTGGTCATCAATGACAGGGGTCAGCTGTCCAACCCTGGCAGGGCAGCTCCTACCGGAGGCCTGTGCAGTACGTATCAGGTGCAGGTAAGCACCCCCGTACTTGGGACTGGGGTGAACAGCGCAAGCAGACCCTCCCGCACGACCCTGAGAAGGCAGCCTCAGGACTCACAGATCCCGGGGTCACTGGGGCAGCTGCACTGTGCTGTGCTGGACGCCTCCACTACTGGAGTCTTCCTCACAGATGGTGTCCCTGCCACATCGCCTGCATCAGCTCAGCTCCTGTACCTGTGCGGGGCCTGGGTCCAAGCCAGTTTCCTCCTATTTACCAGGCAAAGTATCTGAACCCTAAGGACACCCACAGAAAGGGCTGGATCTGCTGTTCTGGGACAGGCAGGGAGCAAGTGGCCCACACTCATGCTTCTTTTCTGCTCACAGGACTCACACAGCTGAGGTCCTGCTGTGGCCCCGCTGCAGATTTACCCACTTATTCAAGCTGAATACTTGGTGCCCCAGTTTGTCCCACAGTGAGGACAGTGGGGCTCGGAGATGCCCCTGCAGTGAAGGGGAGGGGGAGCTGGGTCCTGAACTGGGCTTTGCTGGCTGCAGGGATGGCTTCTGCTCCTGGCTGCTCAGCTGTGCTGCTTCTGCAGCCCTGAGCGTGTGGAGCCCTGCACCCGCAGACTGCAGAGTGGGAGCCCTGCACCCAGGGGCTGCAGAGTGGGAGCCCTGCACCCACGGGCTATGGAGTGGGAGCCCTGCACCCAGGGGCTATAGAGTGGGAGCCCTGCACCCAGGGGCTATAGAGTGGGAGCCCTGCACCCACAGGCTACAGAGTGGGAGTCCTGCACCCAGGGGCTGCAGAGTGGGAGCCCTGCACCCAGGGGCTATAGAGTGGGAGCCCTGCACCCAGGGGCTGCAGAGTGGGAGTACTGCACCCACAGGCTATAGAGTGGGAGCCCTGCACCCAGGGGCTGCAGAGTGGGAGTCCTGTATCCACAGGCCACAGAGTGGGATCCCTGCACCCACAGGACGCAGGGTGGGAGCCATGCACCCACAGGCTACAGAGTGGGAGCCCTACACCCACAGGCCGCAAAATGGGAGCCCTGCACCCGGGGGCTGCAGAGTGGGAGTCCTGTACCCACAGGCTGCAGGGTGGGAGCCCTGCACCCACAGGCTACAGAGTGGGAGCCCTGCACCCGGGGGCTGCAGAGTGGGAGTCCTGTAGCCACAGGCTACAGAGTGGGAGTCCTGTACCCAGGGGCTGCAGAGTGGGAGTCCTGTACCCACAGGCTACAGAGTGGGAGTCCTGTACCCACGGGCTGCAGAGTGGGAGCCCTGAACCCACAGGCTACAGAGTGGGAGTCCTGTACCCAGGGGCTGCAGAGCGGGAGCCCTAAACCCACAGGATATAGAGTGGGAGCCGTGCACCCACGGGCTGCAGAGTGGGAGCCCTGCACCTGCAGGCTGCAGAGTGGGAGGAAGCTCAGTCTTCCTGTGGGGAATGAGGTCCTCACTAGTTCATTCTGGATTTTGCTTCCCAATGGCTGAGGCTCCAGCCTCAACCAGCAACCCCGGGCTCCTCCGCATGGGCAGTCTTGGAAGTTCATCGTCCTTGTCAGGTGCAAGGCTGAACCCTCCCCGCCCCCACCCTGAGGCCATCCTGGTTTCTCAACCTAATTTTATGAAACCACTCCCACCTCTTAATGGACTTTCCACACTTTCCCTTTCCTGTCCCTCCTGCCCCCATGCGGTGGAGCTCACAGAAATGATGGTTCCTGTTTTCAATTAAGCACTGTCCTAGCTGAGGCTACTTTGCTTCCCAAGTCCCGTTTCTTACCCCTTGTGCTGATGGCACCTCTGACACCACCAGATCTGGTAGGAATAGGCCTCCTGTCGATGAACAGAAGCCTGATCACCTTTCCAGGAGACTTGGAGCTCAGGCCTTGGGAGCTGACTGAGAGGCCAAGGCTCTTGATTGAGAAAATTTCTTGGGGAGAAACCCACACTTGAGGCTCTCCATTGTCTGCCGTCTACACAGTGAGGCCAACCTGGGGATGGAGCCCCTTGTACCCCTGATCTTGTCCAGATTCCTTCCCTGTGTGAGCCGGGGCTTCCTGGCTCCGAGGGGTCCCCCATCACCACCCCTCTGCTGCAGACTATGCTCCTGATGAGCCTCCCATGGAGTATTCCCCTCGGTAGCAGCCGGGGGTGCTCACATTCTAAAACACACAGACAGCACATGTATGCATACATGACATGTGCACACGTGTATGTATTCACATTCGCATAGATTTGCACATGTGTGTGTGTGACTTAGATGAAGCAGTTCAGAGGAAGGGATTACTAGTCACACAGTGCAGGTGTGTGTGCTGCAGGCTGTGGGACGGCACAGGAGAGCAATTCCTGAATATCGTCTTATTTACAGTCAGCGTCGTGGGATTGTTTGCAGAACAAGGGATGCGCTGTGCTTTGCGCACTGTTTTCGCACACAGTGAGGTGCTCAACAACCTTGAAACTGAGTCAGTCTCTGCTGGCCACATTTCTCTGTGATTTGAGTCCCAGGTTTGTCACTGGGTCCTGCCCAGTGGGAAAGTCCCCAGCACGGGACCCTTAATCCAAACCTGGGATTCTTCCTGGTGCTGCTTTCTCACTCCTCCCCCTTCCCGTTTGTTTCCTTCCAGTCCTGCCGAAGTCCTGGCCTTCCCACTGCCCCGGTGACAGTGCAGCTCCACCGCCATAGCTGCCACCTTCCCTGTGTCGTCAGCATGTGTAGCATTGCTCCTTGTTGGATGAGTGACAAGACTTTGTGCCAGGAGAGTCCAGGGGTGGGAGCTTTCTGTTTCTCTTTTAAATAAATTAAGAAAATTAACATGCAGATGTCAAGTTGTGTGTGTGTGAAACCGCAACCTCTTTAGCATCTCTCCAGATGCTGTTCCAACTGAAACTCCAGTCGCTGGTTCCTGAGAACCATTCCTTTCCCACTACAATCTAGGCTCTAGACAGTATCACATTCCTCCCTTCTACCTGTTGTAAAAGGATTAAAAGATTTATTTATTTACTTGAAAGAGTTACACACAGAGAGAATGAGAGGCAGAGAGAGAGAGAGAGAGAGAGGTCTTCCATCCTCTGGTTCACTCCCCAGGTGGCTGCAACAGCCGGAGATGTGCCGATCTAAAGCCAGGAGCCAGGAGTTTCTTCTAGGTCTCCCATGTGGGTGCAGGGGACCAAGGACTTGGGTCATTTTCCACTGCTTTCCCAGGTCATAGCAGAGAGCTGGATTGGAAGTGGAGCAGCCAGGACTCAAACCGGCACCCATGTGGGATGCTGGTACTGCAGGTGGTGGCTTTACCTGCTATGCCACAGCACTGGCCCCCTCACCAATTTTTTAAAATAAAAGTATTAACCATGCTAGGCATTCAACTGCCTTCAGCTTTTCTGCTTTTGTTTCACCTGTAGATCTCTCTGGTAGCCATCTTAGAGAGCGTGGCTTTGTTTAATATGCAGTTGGGTTGACTCCTGTTCTGCCTCATAGCTGGGCTGGCCAAGCCTATGAGATGTAGGATCATCAGAGAAAGACAAGAACAGAACTTTGGTTGCCTTCTTAGGGCAGCTGTGAGAGCTCAGAGTGAGGACATCTGTAATGTGTGATTTGTTTGGCGTGGGGATAGCAGTGGGGCTACACCTTGGCCACTCCTCCCTGCCCAGGCTCTGACTGCTGGGTCTGAATGTGTGTGAGGCACACAGGGGAGTTTCTCCCCCAGGTTTTCTGCCCAGGACCTGCCTGTTCATCCTATGGCACTCATGTTCCTGGCTCTGAATCCAGGACAGGTGGGCTTCGTCTGGCTCCTTTGTTTGTATTTGTCCTAGCTTAAGAACACCTGTCAACATGCACAGTGGGGCGGATAATCCTGATCCTAGATCAGGCAATGACCACAGGGCAAATGTGCTCTCCAGGGCCATGGGCACCGTTGAGGGGTCGAGTTGTGGCCAGGGAGTCTTCCATCTGCTGCCCTCTCTGCCTGCAAGACTTGTGGGGACCTCACCGAAGACTTTTCTTTGAGTGGGATTCATTTCTCCAGCTGGATTCTCAGAGAAGCTTTTACTCATTTTTTTTATTGCATAAGAGTTTGTCCTTGTTTGTTTACTTATTTTGCTCAGCCAAGTTCTCCCAAGTTCATTGGAATGACACATATATACTCTATCTCAAGAGCAGACACAACGGAGGAGGGAGCTGTACGTGAGTGCTGCTTTAGAATATTCATGCTGTCCTGCATTACTTGTCTATCAGGTCCTGATGACGACCTCATGAATCTTGGCCAAATGAGCAGCATGATCCTGGGTTCCCACTGATGAAGAATCTGCAGTAGGCAAAGTTCCTCAAACACCATCGACAGAAAACCCCCGAACAACACTTTGTGGCTTCCTAAGTAGTGGCAGAGGCTCACAGGCTGGGGCTCCAGGGGAGTTGGAGCTGGGGACACAGCAGGATTTGTTACTCTGATAGGAATCAGGGTGGCCACAGCCGTGGCTCAGATCAAGTGTCCAGGGCCCGAGGCCTGGGGTGTCTCTCAGCTCTGGCCCCTGTCTCCTCGGGAACTAGCATAACTCAGGTGCCTTGGCTTGCAGGCCAGCGCGCCAGGGAGAACAGTGGCAAGAGCGCTGACTGCGTATCACTGCTGCTGGGTGAGGTGAGAACACAGAGGTGAAATCCACAGAGGGATGGTGGGCTCCCAAGAGACCCCGCTTGCTGGAGGGTGCTCCTGTTGGTGTGGGTAACTGTCCCTGGCAGGAGAGATGGACAGAACCAATGACAGCAGCCTTGGGGACTTCATCCTGGTGGGCTTCTCCCACCACCCCCTTCTGGAGAGGGTCCTGTTTGCGGTCATCCTGATCGCCTATGTGCTGACCCTGGTGGGCAACAGCGCCATCATCCTGGTGTCCCGGCTGGACCCGCACCTGCGCACCCCCATGTACTTCTTCCTCACCCACCTGTCCTTCCTGGACCTGAGCTTCACCAGCAGTTCCATCCCCCAGCTGCTCTACAACCTGAGTGGGCAGGACAAGACCATCAGCTACGCGGGCTGCTCCGTGCAGCTCTTCCTGTTCCTGGCGCTGGGGGGCGTGGAGTGCCTGCTCCTGGCCGTCATGGCCTACGACCGCTTCGTGGCCATCTGCAGGCCCCTGCACTACTTGGCGATGATGAGTCCCAGGCTCTGCCTGGGGCTGGTGTCCATGGCCTGGGGCTGTGGGGTGGCCAACTCCCTGGCCATGTCTCCAGTGACCCTGAGCCTGCCACGCTGCGGGCACCGGCATGTGGACCACTACCTGTGTGAGATGCCGGCCCTCATCCGCATGGCCTGTGTGGACACGGCAGCCGTGGAAGGCAGCGTCTTTGTCCTGGCGGTGGGCATCGTGCTGTGCCCCCTGGCGTTCATCCTGGTCTCCTATGGCTACATCCTGAGGGCAGTGTTAAGGATGCACTCCTCCTCGGGAAGGCACAAAGTCTTCAACACCTGCGGCTCGCACCTGACAGTGGTGTCGCTGTTCTACGGGAACATCGTCTACATGTACATGCAGCCAGGCCGTGGCAGCTCCCAGGAGCAGGGCAAGGTGCTCACCCTCTTCTACAACATCGTCACGCCCCTGCTCAACCCCCTCATCTACACCCTCAGGAACAAGGAGGTGAAGGGGGCGCTGAGCAGGCTGGTTTTGGCAAAACTAAGCTTCAGGAAGAAGTTGTAATAAGAGGCACAGAGATGAAGTGCTGTGTACAGAACATGGGAGCTTTCATTCTTTTACCGTGATTTCCATCAACAGCATCTGTGCGACTTTGGCAGAGTTCAACAGAGACATGTGGCCACTCTCAGCTTTCTTCTGCATGAATCACTCTGGGCCATGTGAATTCTGACATTCAAAGCCAGCACCCCTGGGTGTGAGCTCTAGGGCCCGTGCTGGTCTAAGGGGGGGGGTTCCCCATAACCCCCAGGGCTGGGTGGGCTCTCATCAGTGTGCAAGGGAGAGAGAGGAATGTGGAAGTGGGGGTTCTCACCTGCACTTCCAGAGATGCTAAACCATCACTTGAGAAGTGAAAATTCCACTTCGATTGCCCAGTGTTTTCAATATTTAATTTGTAATTACTTGAAAGGTAGCGTTAGAGAGAGAGGAGCGAGTGTAGACTGTGCAGTAACAGGTCTCGTTCCAGATCAGAGACCATTTTGATGAGATTCAGCATAAAGGCAGCAGTGTCACTGAAATCTGTGGGGGACTGCCACACTCATGTCCCATTCCAGAGCGCCTGGGTCTGAGATCAGCTTCGTTCGGGACTCCAGCTTCCTGCCCGGGCACAGCCTGGGACACAGCCTGTGTGAGTGAGGGCGCAGCATGCCTGGGACTGAGTCCCACCTCCACGTTCATTCCAGCTTCCTGCTGAGGCAACCAGAAGGCAGCAGCTGATGCTCCCAACAGCCGTGTCGGAGACCCCACACATCCTGGGTGTCCTGGCTTCAGCCTGGCCCAGCCCTAGCTGGATCAGGCATCAGGGAGTGAACCAGTGGCTGGGGGATCTGCGTGTCTGTCTGTTTCTCTCTCTGCCTCTGTTTCTGCCTTTCAAATAAATACATAAAATATATATCAATAAATCTTGTAAGTCTATGATATACTTTCCTTCCCAACAAAGAAAATAGCAATTACATCTCACCTAGTTGAAGGGATTCTAGTATCTCACGGTTTTTACAGGGTAGCTTGCCCATCACCTGAGGTCACAGGAGATGGAGGATGTGGATGGGATTCCAAGGCACTCGGCAACAGAGATTATTAAGAAGGAAGAGCAGTGGCCCCTCAGGAAGTGCAGTACTGGATGGATGGGAGGCATCATGAGTGCAAGCTGTGTAGTGGGTCATTGCTGTCGTCACTGGTTTTATCAGGCAGACATGAGGAAGTCAACCTAAAAGTACAATTATATGCATACGTATAACCTAAGGACTTATGTATTTATTCCAAAGACAGGGTACTCCCACAGCAAGAATGTGGGCAGAGTTCTTCCTTCTTCTGTTTCACTCCCCAGGCCGCCTCAACAGCAAGGTGGCAGCCTAGCCTGCTGTGCCACAATGCTTCCCTCCAAATGCAATTATATTATGTATATGCAAACAAGTTGCTATGTGCAATTCATCATTGATTCTGTCAGATTGAACATGAGACAGAACAACAAAGCTAAAATCCACTGAGGCTTCATATTTTAGTGGCTGTTTCTGTCCAGAGCTGTAGCATGCTGTTGAAGTTCAGAACAATGCCAGGGCCACATTTCTTCACACTGCAATGTGATTTTCAATAACCATCCCTTCCCAAGAACTTTGGCTTGCGTCTTACTGTTCCCCTAACTTATTTGCTCTGTTTTGGTGAATCACAGCTTTCTGGGGCAGGTAGGAAGTACATCAAACTGGGAAACTTGAAAATCCTCCCAACACCACTCAAGGTAGAATCTTTGGAGCAGGTCCTCAGCTGGGGCATGTTAATGAGACTGTGTTTGTAGCCAAGGCTGGCAAGAGGCCACACACCTCCATGGAACACTCCAGGGGCTGATGCAAGATGCGGACATGGAGGAGTGGACGCTTGGAGGGGGGGGCAGGAAGACAGTGCCGCTGTGGGATGCGCCCATGTGTCATACCTGTGCGCACACCCTGCTGCCTTCCTAGGATTCAGTGATTGGCTCAGCGTCTTAGCTCCAGAAGCTACATTTCTGCCACTCACTCTCCACAGTGTGGCTGGTTGCTCTCGTCTAGCTGCAGTCAAGAAATAAAGCATCTCCCACTGACAGCCACCCATCAATCTGTCAAGTGACTTACCTCTTAACCACTTCATTTTTTCCCATGGAACATCAATTAATCACTTCAACATTTCTGGTAAGGAATTTAGTTTTCATACCCAATTTTGGCAATAAAATTGGAAAATGCAGAATGGGAAATGATAGAATCTGTGCTAAATTTTCTATGATTGATCCAAGGGTTTTGTTGGAAAAACAAAGGCATTCATCTGTGCCTTCCAGTAGCGTTGAAGGTCAGCGTGAGGTTTAAGGCAGATGTGGCGAAGTCAGCATCACCCGAGTGAAAGGCTCCAGAAACTGCACAAACAGCGCCAGCAAAGCCCCAGCTTCCCGCAGTCCCAGAGAGGAGGAAAAGGAAAACCTGGATTTTCCAGGGCAGACAAATTTCCTAGCCCAGCATCAGGCAGTTTTGAGCCTGTGTCTCCCCCCACCCCTTTTAATTTTTAGGTATTTTAATTGCAAAATAACTCAATTTTTCATTATGAACTTCAACCGCTTTTTTTTTTTTTAATTTGTGGTTGACTTTTAGGAATTGTCACTCTTTGTGCTGACACACATTTAACTGGTGGCCAATGGTCTCACTTGTATAATATCGATGGAAAGTGATTTATTAGTAAAATAAATACCGCTATGAAGTCTGACAGAAAGGTGCTGACACCCTACTCAGCTTAAATTGACACATTTATTTGACCTTTCCCTCCAATGACCTGAACATTATTCTATGCAGAATAGGCAATAATTTCATAATGATAGTCACTTTACACATTTATTGCTCATTTAAAAGTATAGATATATCACCTGTCACCATAAAAAATCATGTGCTAATGATTTCCAATTAAAAGTCTCTTGGCCGGCACCAAGGCTCACTTGGCTAATCCTCCGCCTGCAACACCGGCACCCCGGGGTTCTAGTCCTGGTTGGGGCACCGGATTCTGTCCCGGTTACTCCTCTTCCAGTCCAGTTCTCTGCTGTGGCCCGGGAGTGCAGTGGAGGATGGCTCAGGTTCTTGGGCCCTGCACCTGCATGGGAGACCAGGAGGAAGAACCTGGCTCCCAGCTTTGGATCCATGCAGCGCACCAGCCATAGTGGCCATTTAGGGGGTGAACCAACAGAAAAGGAAGACCTTTCTCTCTCTCTCTCTCTCTCTCTCTCTCTCTCTCTCACTAACTCTGCCTTTCAAAAAAAAAGTCTCTTAAACTTCAGAATAAGAAAATGCTTTTGTGAACCAAAAGCCTTGGTGGTTTTACAATTGTTCTCTAAAACTCACAGATCTCCTTGACGATGTAGGCAGAGTAACTGAAAAGATTGTAGTTTACGTGACATCCTATTTCTTATTGAAATAAGGGTGCTTAGAGACTGCTGACCGCGTCCTCACGGCAGCCCTGTGGGTGCTGAGCGTCTGCTGGCCGGGTCCCCCAGGACAGTGCCTCCGCAGTCTGCCACCATGGACAACGCGAGCTCCACGGCAGACTTCGTTCTCCTGGGGCTCTTCAACCACACGCGAGCCCAGCAGCTTCTCTTTGCGCTGGTCCTGATCATTGCCTTCACCTCTGTGGTGGGCAATGCACTCATGCTTCTCCTGATTGCCCGGGACCGCCGGCTCCACACGCCCATGTACTTCCTCCTGAGCCAGCTCTCCCTCAATGACGTCATGCTGGTTTTCACCACGGTGCCCAAAATGGCTGCCGACTACTTGACCGGAAGGAAGTCCATCTCCCGCACGGGGTGTGGGTCGCAGATTTTCTTCTTCCTGACCCTGGCCGGTGGGGAGAGCTTCCTCCTGGCGGCCATGTCCTACGACCGCTATGTGGCAATTTGCCACCCACTGCGCTACCTGGTTTTCATGAGCTGGCGCTTATGTCTGCAAGTGACTGTGGGGTCGTGGATCCTGGGGGCTGCTGACGGCCTCCTGCAGGCTGCAGTCACCCTGAGCTTCCCGTTTTGCAGGTCACGTGAGATCAACCACTTCTTCTGCGAGGCTCCCGAACTGATGCGCCTGGCCTGTGCCCGCTCATCTGTCTTTGAGTATGCCATGTACATCTGCTGCGTGTTGATGCTCCTGGTCCCCCTCTCCCTCATCCTGATCTCCTACAGCCTCATCCTGGCTGCTGTTCTCCACATGCGCTCCACAAAAGCCTGCAAGAAGGCCTTGGCCACCTGCTCTTCCCACCTGGCTGTGGTGGGACTCTTCTATGGAGCCACCATGTTTGTCTACATGAGGTCCAGGTCCTCCAGGTCAGCCAGCCATGACAAAGCTGTGTCGGCCTTCTATGCCATCTTCACACCCATGCTGAACCCCCTCATCTACAGCCTGAGGAACAGTGAGGTCAGGGGTGCCCTGAGGAAGTGTGTGGCTCAGGGCGTCACCCTGGCCGGCAGGATTCCATTCCTCTGCCTCTGCTTTTGTGTCTCGGCAAAGTGACTGCATGGGGCGTCCGTAGAATTCTCTGTACCCCCTCTCCATGGGTGTGCCTCGGCTGTCCCCCAGCAGATCCTGGATGCTCAGATGGTGCTGAAGCCTAAACCCGCACACCTTTTCCCTGTGCACATGCACAGGCTGTGCTGTGACGGTGGCAGCTTGTGGTCCTGCGGGGAAACGGACAAAAACTTCTGTTTCCTCCACAGTTTCATAGAAGAGTTTGTTCTATCACAGACCTTCCCAATGTCAGGGTCCATTTTTCTTGTTTCCTTCTTAAGTTGAGAATATTCACCTTTTCTTTGATAAGACTTATTTATTTATTTGAAAGAACAGCAGGGTGGGAGGAGAGAGAGAGAGAGAGAGAGAGAGAGATCTTCCATCCATTCCCCAAATGGCTGCAACAGCCACAGCTGGGCCAGGTTGCAGCTGGCATCCTGGAGCTCCATCCTGGTCTCCCCCAGCTCCAGGAGCGCCCATACTTGGAGTATCATCAACTGCCTTCCCAGGTGCATTCACGGGGAGCTGGATCAGCAGCCGAGCACCTGGCGCTGGAATCAGCTCTCCAGGATAGGATGCTGGCATCGCTCAGTGGCTCACTTTCTCGCTGACACTTGCAGGAATCACTTCGTGGATTCTTTGCCGTATGCCAGTGGCCAGCATCTCTT